CGAGTCAGTCTCGACTAGTAGGGCCTACAAGTTGCAATAAGTCGCTGAAAACAGCATGAATTTTCTCATCAAGTGATATGTGGTAGTTAAATATTCCAATCTAGCTGGTTTCCCCCGCAGTTAATAGTTTGGGTCTGGGTAAATGGACACAAATCACTTGACATGGCATGTCACATAGTTTGGTCGTTATCGCCTGTCTGGTCAGGCTAGTTAACGGTTAATTGCGGATTTCACCCCACTTTTCCCGCAGTCTTTTAAACACCCATTCAGCGGCATGAATGTTGAGGGCGTGAATACGGCATCGGAAATGAGGCAGCGTCGCAGAGCCAGAGGATGCGTGGGAAGCGTTGCAAACTGGACAGCGTTTTATCCAACATCCAGACTGTCTGGTGCCACAAATTTGAGACACTGAAAAAATGGCTTGAAATGGGTATGACAGTGGAAATTCCGAGACCGGAATAAGTTGGCGCTGGAACAAAAAGCGAGACCTTCAACATGCTTAATATGGTAAGATATAGCTAAATTGATGGTTTTTAAAGAGTTAATGTATAAATCTCAAACTATTTGAATAACGTTTGAACTTGATTAGGATCCGATTTTAATGACTGGGTTTTACAACGAAAATAGTGGGAGGAAAACACTCATTTCGCTGCTTTACCGTCCATTTACTAGTACTTGATTGGCAAGCCTTTTGGCATTTATAGAACTACTTTGGTTTTACGGAGAAATCCTTAATTACAGCTACCGGTGGAATGGCATTGCTTAAAGTCACCTAACAAATAAGTGAGGCTATTTGGGTGAGAAGCACAGTGGCGGTTTTAGGCTGTCAAGCTTATAAATGTTCATGAGAAATTTAAGCAGCCATTTTAAAAGCGCCCAGGGCTCCAAATTTTCAGCAATTAACCGAGATTACTTTAAACTACCACCAATTTATTCCTCCAAATGAAATCTGCTAATTTATTTCCAGAAATTGGTCAAGTTTATGGGTGAAGTGTGTTGGTCCACATGGATCCCTTCATCGTGTGCTGACATTGCGGACCTATAGCTATGATCATGCGTATGCATAGCACATTATTTAAGAACCCGGGAAGTACCGGCCATTTGATCAACAGGCCTTCGAGCCGCATACTTCAATGTGTGCATATTGTGATACACTATAACTTCCTCTCCCATCGTCTTCGGGGAGTTGTGCGCCCGGGAGATTCGACATCTGTCGGTTGAAGTGTTATCGGTCGTAGGTGCCTCGAAACATGAGCCAACATATAGCTGTCAAAGCGGGTGGGGAGCGACGGAGTGGAGACCGATTATCTTACCGATAAAATATAGGCAAAACCAATAGTTTGATAACAGCATAAACAGAAATGGAAATTGTAAAGTATAATTATAAATACTGATGAATCTTGCTATATTTAATGGGAACGTATATGACCAGACTACATCAGAGCCCCACTTAATAAAGACTACGCATATAATCTCCAGTGGGCTTTTAAAGGAGTGGTTTTAAACGTCAGCTTTTGTATCTATTGTTTTCCTTAAGTTCATGCTAAAGCATTTGTTTAATCATTTCAGGTACCTTTATGATGTATGTTGATGCAAGTAAAGGGCGGTGTCAAAAATTTGTATTTTTATTAAAGACTTCGGAAACATCCTTAAAAATAGATAAGCTTTATCTGTAACCCTAAAAGCTGCTTCCTAACTATTAACTTGCCATTTAATCAACCCTAATTTCTTACAAAAACAAGCTAACGGCCTTTAACAGTTGTCCTCAAATATTTTCAATGTCAACATTAAAATGTCAAAAAGCTCTTCTAGCTACTTTAATGCTTAAAAAGAAAAATAATGATTTCAACTAGTCCTACAACAGTCCCATTGCAAGGTATCGATACCTGTTTAGGACTAAATATACCAGGAATTTATTCCTAAAATCTGCTTAACTTCGACAACAAGATATATTATGCCTTTGCATGCTAAACTGACTAGTAATCGTGATTCCTTTTCCTTCGTCTTCGCAGTAGAATGAATTAACGGAAGGACTTTCAAATCGTAGATTTGGCAAAAAGTTGTTGCGTATCTCTGCAACATGAAATTATCGTCATCACTTAAGCCCAGTATCTGAACTGAAAATGACACTAACATACACTAAAATTGTAATTCCAGTGTATGGTGAACCATTAAATACTGCTTATGCTGCATAGGCACTTCAGTAGCCTCTCTCAAGTAATTCAAAACACGGTTTCATGCATTAAAGGTTCCGCATTTTTAGACCTTAAAAATGCTTGGCAGATTTCAGCATTCCCTGTCTTCCGTTCAAGACAGGGGTCACATGAAATTTGGTATATACTGCAAAAGCTGAACGCTGTAGAGAGGTGCATATTATCGGTGATCCGGTTAACTTCCTTTGATGGCCCACATGACATTAATTTACGCATTTTTATTGAATTATCAATTACGCGCAACAGAATAGATGCTTTCCACCGCTGATTTCAGGTTTCTCTGTGGCAGCATCAAAATAAATTTAATCAAATCTTTGAGTGTGGGATTTCCTTGCGCTATTATATTTAAAAATGCAAATAAAATGGTAAATTAGATGATATTATACTCCAAAATCGCGGACAAGAATGGAGGCACAAGCCCGGAGTCCACTCGATGAAAGTTGAGACTAATCAATTCAATGGTCCCTTAGGATGTGATTTTCTTCAAAACTTACGCTCCCGTATTTGGACATAGCACATTTATCAGGATGACAAAATAAATGGCAAAATGTAAAATGAATCAGACAATCCCACAAAAGTGGTTAATACATGCCCGCCGTCTTTTGAAAGCTACTGTTCATTTCTGTCTGCTCCAGTGCAAAATGGATCTTATTAAAAAATGGGGTTTCTTTTTTCACGTTTTGGTTTTGCTAGTAGTTCGCTACTGCAGATCGTGACAAAGGGCTAAATATTTTCGTGGAAGTCCTGCAACCGTTTACTGGGTTGTCTGACTGCGTAATTTCAAGTACCGCTTTGTGGGACACTGCGTCCCAGTGCGTTCCACATCGGAGATTTCAGTCCGAAAATTGGACTGTCTCGTTTTGCACAATTTATGCACACATTTGCTTATTTTTAAAGAACAAAGCGCATCCAAACTAGATTTCCAAATCGGAATTAAGGTGAATGCTGCCGTTACCATTTCATTAAAATTGGACCGTGTAAAATGTTATTAGTTATTTGAACATGTGTCCAAAGTAATGCCTATTAACTCATCACACTTTTTTCCATTTTATATGACTAATCTAAATCTTCATCAAATTATTTTCCCACCTTTCACTCATCCGCCATCGAAAGTTGTATCTTCTCTCAGTAGCCGTCACAAAGACTTCATCACATGCACCACTCATGCCCAAAAGATAAGCCGATGTACCTCGGTGACGGATACCACACGTTTTGCTTAATGGTGAAGGTAATTACGATCGCAGGAGTCCCAAACTCCTCCCCTTGTCATTTGGTGCATACACTGAACATTCACTAATTGCTGTCATGATCACTGAATTGCATAAACAATAGGGTGGGAATCATTGGTTTGTAATTGCGCATTCTGACATGCATTCATTGTGTTTACGGGTGGCTGGGCGTGATGTCCATCCGAGGTGCGAACGTGCGATAAATTTTGAAAAGCTTGACTCGGCTAGAAACCGTTTCGCATGCCTTTTTGAATTCGATCAAATAGGTGTTTCGTTTACAATTTGCTTCGGCACCCAAGCATCTTCTTTATATTCATGATTTGTTGATGAAGTGTCTTTGAAGATTAACGATTTTAAAAGCACTAAAATTGTTCCATCAAATAAACTTGCAATTTTAATCAAAGAGTCAAGCGAAACTTAACCTACTACAGATGCCCCTTAAGTTTATTATACTCTATGCTGGTAAAGGATTTTATTCACATTTTAGCATTTTCGCTGCCACCATCATTTGAATGTGACGTTCTGATTTCATCATCTGGCCTTGAGGTCACAAACATGTGACCTGACCTCATTGACTTATGAAAAGTGGTTGCGGGATACCATGGGCATTTGAAATGTCCAAAGAAAACGTGTGACGGACAGTATTATGCAGAAACAAATGAACATAAGTGGGCAGTGGTGGTTGTTTTTTACTTAGACAGTGGTGGTGAAAGAGTTGCTACCTAATTTGAAATGTCTTTTATATGCATTCTTGCAAGCAAAACACTTATCTGTTTAAGAATTCAAGCTTATATTTAATTTCGATAAAAGTATTTCATTTTAGCGATAATTTCCTTTTTTCCGGTTAGGATGTCGCATGATTAAAACCACTTCTTTCGTAAAATAGAATTCCTTTATATTTTGCAAGTCATTATG